TGTGTATTTATGATCCGTACAGCTGTTTATATACAGTATATACAGTATAGTATAGTATATCTATATAGTTTATCTATATAGTATATCTTCTATTGATATTGTATGTTCTTGTATTTCAATAATGAACTACTTCAAATGAACTTAACGCATGCATTCCAGTGTTTTAACAGCGCGACAGGTCATTTAAAAAGCAGTTGCATCATGTTACTTGTTCTCTGTCTGTGCTCACGGTTTGGTCATGTTTGAGGTTTGATCACTAGAGGGTGCCAGACACAAGCATGAGCAGTGTGTTAACCTTTCTCACCGTAAGAGGGTAGACGCAGTCAAAGATACACTAAATCTAAACCCAATCACGTAGTCTTCTAGTACATGCTAACCCCAAGCCTTTAGAGGTTTTACAAAGCTAATGATGGTCTGGATTTGTTGAGAAGCATTGATCCACATTTGGAATAATTTTTTGGGTTTAGTTTCTTCAAGATTGCATTTTATCCTGTAATACAAATAGTATATTATTTGTGTACTTTAGATGTTCAGCTATTTGCCTTCACACTTTGATTCCTACCTTCCTTACTTCCCCTGTCCGTATCCATTTCATACTTACACTTTCTACCTGGTCAATATTTTTTACAGTGGATGAACTCATTAGGTACCACAGACACAGTATGAGTCCTTACAGAAGTATAGCAGTGATATTAGAGTGCCTTTTTATTGGCAATGACAGATCATATTCATAGAGAAAGATTTCAATTTATGATAAGACAATTTATTTCAGTGTTATAAACTATTGGCAAGGATTTATGCGCAATAGATGCCAAGCCTAACCCTAAAATTTGCCTTGTAGGATGCTCCTAACAATACTGCAACTAAAGGAGTAATGGAATAGGATGAAATACCTGCATCCTCCTCCGGTCACAGATCTTGCTTCTCGACCATTTTTGCAAGACCTCATGCAGCTCACAGGAAGCAGAAGTAAAATCCATTTCCCGTCAGAAAGGGAAAAGAAGGAAATGAGATAGGGAGGAGCAGGGGTGGGTAGCGGCGCGGGAGGGAGCGGTGTACAGACATCTGCTGTGCTTAGAAAAGACATAAAACAAGACACGAGTGAGGGATCTTTAATCTACAACCACAGCTACTGACAAACATTGTACAGTTAGTGTGTCAGTTTGTGTGTCCAGTGTCAGTGTGAGCACGACAGGGATGGGACTAATTAATTCTCAAAGGTTTCATGTATTTGGGGACTTCTTCTTTTTTTTTAAACTGTGCACATCTCTTCTCTCTGCCAGCGAACTGACAGTTAGCAGGCTTCAAGTTCATTCAAAAGATATATTTGTAACAATGACTAACGTCTCATAACTGTCTGCAAACCACTCATCTTTTGTGGAGCAGTTTATACTACGACAGAGGAGCTTAAATAAAAGTGGATGATGCAACGCAGCTAATAAGCTACAGCAGCTTCTTCCTGTCCAGCTGTCAGTTCCATCGGAGGTCAGCACAAGCAGCTTGCTCTTGGTCAAGTGTGTGTGTTTAAGACTTGAAAAATGAAGCTGCCAGACACAGGCACTAGCCTCAGCTCTAGTCGGCCTGCTATACCGCTAATGGCTTTTTCTGCAGAGTGTGCTGAGACTCGCTGCTGCAGTTTGGTTGGTAGTTAACACAAACGCTTGTACGTAGCCTACAACTTGATATTTTGGATGGATAATGAAGCATAATTTGCTTTACTTATGTCCTTCCGCACATCCAGTTAGCATGTCCTGCACTCTTTTGTCCTGAAACATGCGAAATGCGTAATACTCAAAAACCCCATAACTTTATAGGTCCAGACCCAGAACTCAGACATCTAATCTTGCTGCGAAATGATTCTGAACTATGTCAGTGTTTTATTTGAAAGTAGTACTTTCACGAGAATATTTAGTGTTGGTGTGAATGTAATCATTGAAATCCTTCAAACCAATGATGGATGTGCCCTGCCCATCACTCTCACCTTTCTTCCTCTTCCGTGTTTATCTATCGCCATGCTGATGTGTCCATTGCAGGGCACGTTTCCCTTTCATTCTGTTGACAGACGGAGTGTGTGGCATCGCGTGTTTACATGAGGGAATTTTACAACATCGCTGTAAAAAAAATTCTTGTCTAGAATAGTCTACAAATAAAGGTCAAGTAGTCTACTTAGATAAACTGATTGCACATTGTGCTGCAGTCCTTGCAACTCATTCTGAGGTTGGGTAATTGTTTCTCATGCCAACAAGGCTAGGGTTAAATATAGGATGTACAGTCCAGCATTACTATACTTAAAAATAACTACTACAGTCATTACTCCTAGACCACAAAAGGCACTCAGATATAAAGTTGGAGAAGATTCTTAAAAGTTATTCAAAGAAAAGATAAGATTGCGAAAAGCAACAGTGTAAGTATCGTGGTTATAATAAGTGACCTTCACCTGCATAATACCACCTACAGTTTACTATAGGTATAAACAAAATACATTTTTCATTAAGCAGCTGAGTTGCGATCACATTCCAGTCCAACATGAGCTTGGTGTGCTGTATTATATTGGACAATACACTCTGATAAGATGCTGGCTGTCTTCAGAATGGACAGTAGTTTTATAATAGCTGTACTGCATGTTGCTATATTTGTTACATTTGTGCTGTAGCAAAGACAATAGACTGTTGTTTTTGAATACACAGACCCTTGATTTCAAATAACTCCGAATGACCCCGAACTGTGCTGATTATTATGATCCAGACAATGGCTTGAGGGTCTTAACTGGTCTTATGTTTTTGTTCAATATTCAGATGTGAATAGGCTTTCACATGTAAGTACTGCGTGATTACATTCAGCAAAGACAAACAAGAGTGACAGATGCAGCAAACAAAAGATTTACTTCTCGCTGCATCTGAACCAATACCACAACCTCTACTGCAATCTGCATGCAAACAATATACAAGATAGCATTCGGCTTTGGTCTGAGAGCATGCATATTAATGCAGATGTGCACTTGGTCCTCAGAGTTATTAAAGCTTTGAAATCAAGTATTTGTAGTGCAGAAGAAGAATCCTGGCTATAACATCCAAACATCACACATGACATGAGTAGAAACACTGGCAGATGGTGACGCGACGAGTGTGAACTGTGTGGATTTGTTTTATTCAAACTTCAGTGATCAGCGCCAAAGCACCAGGTTTTTTTTTTTTCTGGTTTCTTTTTGTTAGCGCCAAACAAATCCAAAAATACACACACACACACACACACACACACACACCCACACACACACACACACACTCACATTCACACTCACACACACACACACACACACACACACACACACATAGATCACTGCTGATATTTTGGAAAATCATCACAGCTGACGGTTGAATTGGGCCTATTCATGCTTAAAACTTGTGCATGCATATTTCTGTCAAGTGCTTCAGATAAATGCCCCCCCCCCCAAAATAGTAAACAGTGCAGTGAGGACAGTGTGTGCTTGTGCTTGTTCATGGTCACTGATACGACGAGTGAACTCTTATTGATTCTTGGCCGCTGTGGGAAGGTCCACTGTTTATGTTATTGTTATGAACCATGATATCTCTTTTACACACACACATGCTCACACACACACACACACACACTGGCGCACAAATTCCTTGTGTCCCAGAGGAGTGTATGTCTGAAGTGTTCTGAGCGCTGGCAGTCAGTGAGGAAGCAACTCTGGTCCTCCTCCCTGGCTGCTTCCTAGTATTGTTGTTACATCCATCTCTTAAATGTCCTCGTGAGCATGAATGTGTGTGATCTTGGATGTGTACACTGGACTATTTTCGGTGCAGTTTTGGGATTGATACTGAAGTCTTGAGACAGACGGACAGAAAAAAATGACGGAATTTGTTGTATGGACGTTTCTAAGTTTCTCTTTAGTAGCAGGGGCGGAAGTAGCAAAATTTCTTATAGAACAAAGTGTTATGACTTTGACCGCCGAGACTATGGTTCTCTATCTGTCACCTACCACCAGTCGACGTTGATCTTTTCAAAACCTTACAATTAGTAATAAAAGTCACAGTGAAGTCATTTCAGTCTGCGGTGGTTAGGTTTGATTATCACTTAAGTTGTCCCTGCAACCAGTCAGCGCCTGATTGCTAACACTGGCTGTGCATTAGGAGTTTTGTTCACTAATAATACATTTAATACAAGTCATTTTGGTATGATGCTTAAAACATAATAAATTGTTATATCTCTCATACTGGAATAAGGTTGAATGGACTACTTGAAATCACACTGAGACTTCAGCTCAGATCAGGATTCAGGTGAATACTTAGTATGGATCACGTAATTCTTCAGGCTCCATGTCAGACTAATTTCACCAAACTCAATCATAATTACGTAAAATATTGTGCAGAACTGCTGAGTTTTATTGCCATAAATGTGCCAAATTCTGTTGTTTTTTTTTAAATAAACAATGAGGCTGGTTCAGCAAATGTTAAAATGTTTTTTCTCCTAACCTCTAAAAGCATTGGTAATTTGTATTAAAGACAGCTCATCATTCTGGACAATATTAAACTGTGGTGCCCAATAAACTATTAGACTGCTGTTGGAGGTTTTTCCATCAGGCAACGCCCCCCTCCCCCCATCTAACTGAAATCTGAGGGCCTGAACCAGGTGGCCTGAGGCATATTTCAACCACATGATATACTGTACAGTAGAGTGTAAGTGCATCAGTCTCCAAGTAATATCCTAGAGCAGAAACAAGTATGAAGGGCATGTATTGTTGTGTATTTTTACTTACACGAAATAACAAAGGGGTTCTCAGACTAGCTAACCACAGATGTCTCTAGTAATACATTTTCAAGTGTAAATATAATGTGAGTCTTTTTATACTTTCAACTTGTTTAGGTTTGAGTTGATTCCCTAACGTTTACCCTCGAGGATTTTTTTTCTGTATGGGGCAGCAATCTTCCCGATTCCAATGTCCTGACAGAGGGTGTTCTCTTACTCTGTTGTGTTTACAGGCTGGAGTCTGAAATCGGTGCACTTGAAAGTGAAGAGTCTCAGATCTCAGCCAAAGAGCAGGTTCTCCGAGAACGTCTGAAAGAGACGGAGCGCTCCATAGAAGACCTGCAGAAGGTACAAGAACATGAACGACTTTGAAAGCTTCTAACTGCTGGCTTTGAAAGAAACACGCTAATATTCAAATCATTCAGCTCCAACTAGTCGGTACTGACATCACTGTTGTGGAGTAGCTAGGCCACCCCCTGCAGGGGGTGTTCAGTTCTTGCAATCTGTTATCAGTTTCTTCTTTCATTACACTATAATTACCTCAGTTTTTTACTCCTTTATAAGTGTAAACAAAAAACTGTGAAGATGTCGTATAGCTCTCTTGCTGCTAATCAAAAACACACACAAGCGTGCTAGATATAAATGACAAAACAGAACTGTTAAGTTTTAATTGCACTGTAAAATCTTAATTAAAAATAAACATGGCAGTCATGTTGCTGCAGATGCTGAATGTTGAGGGGAGTAGCACCAAGGCAGGGTTAGGGTTATAATAATGTTTACTTTTTAACATAACTGGTTATTTTTAAAGCAGTGACAGGAGACTGAATGTAAAAACTTTAAAAGAAGCATCGTTCCCCAAATCAGTGAAAAAAACATTAGATGGTGGTGGTAAATGAGAAAAGACAGAAAGGGATTGTGGTCCTCCAATGCTTTCCACTGAGCAAAGCTCTGAAATGTTATCTCATTTTTGAATATGTCATCATATGTAATACTCATACTTCTAAATAATATATTTTGTGATAGAAAGCCTTTTAATCATTATTATTTTTCAAAAATTCCAAAAAAGATCACTCCACTATGGCTCATATGGATTTTCTCCTGTCTCTCTTTCAGAGTCTGATGACCCAGGATGGAGGTATGAGCAATGACACACACACACACACACACACACTAAAAACGCACACCTCACTGGGATGGTGTCCACCCCTGACTTATTGTTGTTTCCTAGCAATGGGGTCCCTCTCTCTATTTGTGTGTGTGTGTGTGTGTGTGTGTGTGTGTGTGTGTGTGTGTGTGTGTGTGTGTGTGTGTGCGTGTGTGTGGATAATAGTCTCGCTGAGGCAGGAGAGATGCAGGCCAGAGCACGCTCCTGAACCCCCAAACACACACTCAGCCATACCCAACAAATACACCCATAGACATATATGTGCCTGCACACAAACACACACATGCACCTAAAACGCACACACATACACACACAAACCTCGGCTTAGGGAGACTATTGAAGCTAACACACACACAAGGCCATGACTCTGCAGGCTGCAGTCGTTGGCTTTATCCCCCTCTATTCACCAACAAGCCCTGTAAGCCCCTAAAGCTTTGTTCCTGACATCACACGCACACAAACACACACACAAAGCAGTAACAAATACACAAACATACACACACACACGCATACTTCTGCTGCATAAGCATTGAACCTCAGGGGTGCTAGAGTTGCCGTGGACACAGAAACAGAGATGAGGAGAGTTAGGTGGTGTGTGTTTTTGTGTGTATGTGTGTGTGGAACAGGGGCGGGCAGGGTCACTCGGGGGTGTGGTTAGTTTCTCTGTTGGGGGGCTGGGCTGTGTGTGTGTGTGTGTGTGTGTGTGTGTGTGTGTGTGTGTGTGTGTGTGTGTGTGTGTTTTTGTCAGAGTGTGGGTGTGGTTACACATCACTGAGATGTGTGTATGTGTGCGCATGTGTGTGTATCAGCATGTAGCTGATGTTAGAGAGTGTGTGTGTGTGTGTGTGTGTGTGTGTGTGTGTGTGTGTGTGTGTGTATGTGTGTGTGTGTGTGTGTGTGTGTGTGTGTGTGTGTGTGTGTGTGTGTGTGTGCGTGTGACTCTCCCTCTCGGCCTCTAACGTCCCTCTGACCATGTGTCATTTCCCCTCCTGTGCTCCTGCTCACTAGATGCCACCTGCTGCATGTCGGCCCCCCTCTCGGACTGCACGGACCCCGATCCCGACCACCTCGTCCTGGCCACGCAGCCCCAGACCAGCCCACCTGCCTCTGGAGAGCACGCCATACCAAGACCTGGTAAGACAGAGGGAGAAGAGGAGGGTGAGGGACGGGAGAGAAGAGAGAGAGGGAGGGAGGGAGGAAGGGAGGACGGGAATGTTTTGGGCTGCCGCCAAGTTGGATTATAACCACGACAAACTCACGTGCACATGGAGAGCGGATAGGCACAGATGCGCACACGTTTGCACAAAGTTCGGTAAAATCTCATGTGAACTTCAAAAGTTACATCAAAGCTTTCATGTCTAAAGAAACATATGGATGACATATGCTTAAAGATAACAATTTACAGCATAGAATTCAAATTCATTGTTTTTATTAAGAAACAATGCAGATTTATTGTAATTTACTGAAATTAGTATCAATAGGCATTAGTATCAGCTTCAATTTAGATATCAAGTCTTGTTGTTATTGGTATCAGAAGCAGTATCTTAATTTGTAGTGACATGAGTTTAGTATCAGTGTCAACATAACTTTTAGTCTCCATGATAGAATTACTATGTTTTGGTTTTTATTTTAGACTAGTTATACTATCATAACACTGCTATGCTGTAATACTACATTCTTAATGGGTTTAGGATTAGTTATACTGTTACTCCAGATGTTTGTGTTAGTTTCAGTTAGAATTCGTTGAAAGAAAAAGCTAAACGTTATGATAGTGAACGGCTTGTGTTTAGTTTATTATCTTTGTTTCTTTGTATTTGGTTCTGCTGACTTTGCACTGGGGGATAGCTCTACAAAATAAAAGCTCAGCTCTTGCGTCAGTTCCATTTAATAAAACAGTTGTGCTTATGATTGATGTGCAGTAAGTTAATGATTTCACATCAAAAGACAAGTGTATGAACAAAGCAAAACATCACCATTCAGTTAGAATAAAATGATCACACTTTCACAGATTGGTGGTTTATTGAACCTTAGGAAACATCAACATGTTTTCAAAACTGCTTGTTTAGCAGTATAAGTGTTTCAGTGTAATCCTAAGTGACCTAGAAGCACCACAGTTGACTTGAAGTACCATCTATACACATCCTCAGTAAGTTTACATTATGGTGCTTTAAGTTAAAAGTTATAAGTATTCCTAAAGATCATTTTCTGTTGTGCTAAATTGTCAGAGAACAGTGTCCACGTCCTCACGCTTCACTCCCTCCACCTTTTCTTCCCAACACCCCCCACCCTCTCCACTGGACCCTTCCTAACCCTTCACTCGTCCTTTAAACCTTTCTCCCTTCTGCACTCCCCCCCCCCCCCCCCCCCCCCCCGTCTCTTCTCCCATTCACCCCCACCCCACCCCCTCCTCCTAACAGCCATGTTTGCCATGGAGATCAACGTGCAGCATGACCCACAGACCGGCGAGCAGCGCATCCTGTCAGCCAACCGTGTGAGCCCGCTGGATGCAGCGTCACGTGGCATCAAAGTCTATGATGATGGCAGAAAAGTAGTCTACGAGGTCACTTCCTCTGGGGGTGTGTCCACTACCACTGTGGAGAATGGTTGGAGCTCTGCGCAGGTTGACCAGCTGATCCAGCGCGCTGCCAGACCTACTGTGCGAGGAGGAGATGGCGGGAGGGGTCAGGTGACGGTGACCCCAGCTACCCCAGCTACCACAGCTACCCCAGCTACCCCAGCTACCCCAGCTACCCCAGCTACCCCAGCTACCCCAGCTACCCCAGCTGCCCCAGCTGCCCCACAGGCTTACGTTTCCCCAGCAGATGTTGATGATCTGTCCCCACCCTCCTGCGCCCCACCATCCATCCCCTCCAGCCCACCAGCCCAGGTCACCCTCCAGAGGGAAACCCGGCTGGGCATGATGCCCCCCTCTGCTCCTGTCACAACTCAGCCCGTCTCCTCAGCCCACCCAGGCAACGAGCTCACCTCCCCACCTCAAGCCAGTGCAGAGCACCCAGTCACCATGGTGTTCCTTGGCTACCAAGACGTTGAGGACATGAGCGAGAGCAGGCGACTGCTAGGCTTTGACGGCGCCGTGAAGGCCGAGGTGGTTCTGATCGACGAAGACGACGAGAAATCGCTGAGGGAGAAGACGGTCACTGACCTATCCGTCATCGACGGCACGGCGGCTGACCTCGTGTCAGGGCGGCCGGCCACATCTGAGGCCGTCAGCACGGAACTGTCATCTGACGGCCGTGAGCCTGACAGCGCCTCCTCGCCCCCCGCGAATCCTGACGCCAACACGGCCCCCCCACCCGGCCTCACCCCCGCCACAGGTACAGACAAGAGGAAACGCTGCGAGTGCTGCATCCTCATGTGACTGAATCTTCTTCCTCTTCCACCCTTTTATTATTACCCACAACACCCCTCTCTTCTCCTCTGTCTCTGGATGGTTACTAACAGAAGCCCTGCCTTCCTCCTCCTCCTCTGGACGCTGATCGGCTGGCACACACATGCACACTCACACACGCTCTTGTCTGACCTTTGACTTTTTACTCAGTTCCATGATCACCTCTACATCTCTTCTCTTTCGTTACACACTGTGTCAACATTGGAGGCTCTGCCTTCCCGCCTCCCTTCTCCTGCAACAGCACAGTATATTTCACAAATTCAAATCACGATGCAGGAATTAAGCTGTTGTCGTGCTGCTATATTTATGGTGAAATCAGACAGATGGAGGAAATTGATGTTTCTTGTCAAGGAGCTTAAACCAGGTTATATATATATATATATATAGACCTCCTCTCAGTGAGACTCAGTAAGACTTTACGGACAATCAGTCACATTGCCATGCTGTCAAACCAAACAGTGCGTTTGGCTCTAAGGACAATCAACCAGATCACCACCTTTAATAAGCCAGTTTATAAAACATTCAAAAAGACACAGTCTCAGTTATTTTTTTATTTTTTCTATTCAGTCACTTCCAACTTCCTTTTCTCTCAACCCAATGCTCAACCAACCCCCGACCCCCCCTTTTGTCTCCAAACAAACATATATACACTCCACACACCCAACCTATGAACTCAAACAACCCACATACCCCCCCCCCTTCCTTATACAGACTCTCTCTGACCAGGGCGGAGAGGAGGGGACTTGTTGCCTTGGTTTCTTTATGTGCCTCTTCATTCTTCCACATCTTAACAAAAGATAGAGATAATTAGAAGTTTCTATTAGACTTTTATTTCAGTTTGCTGTTGTTATCTGAACATTTTCCTCTCTTTTCTTTTGAAACTTCAAAGGCCATTGAATTGTTGGGATGCCTGTTTCCGTGGGAAACTGAGGTTTTTGACACTGTAGTTTGTAGTAACAGGACTCTCTCACTCTTTCCCTCATCTCTCTCTCTCTCTCTCTCTCTCTCTCTCTCTCTCTCCCTCTCTCTGATGTTTTCTCCATTAACTCCAGCTATTCCACTACTGAGGTCATTTCCTCCTATTCTAGCACTTCCTATCTCAGCAGCCAATAAGAAGCCGTGGAACACCTTTTGGCAGCCAGTAGGATCTATACAGCCAACTTTTCCAATGTGTCTGAAGTCTCTAGAGCACAGGAAGCTAACGGCAGCTTAATGAGTACACTCTGACAGCAAGGGAACACGCATTTCCACCTATGAAAACAAACATGGGTTATACACTAACAGCCTGAGCACAAAGATGTGAATAATGACTATTAACGAGCACTAGCAGATTACTAAATTGCAACTATGACAGCTGCGCTCAAATGAGCTTTTAGACAAAGATTCTGTGCAATTCATGTTCATCTTTCTGTCCATTAAATTCACTTCACTGCTGCAGAAGCCCACCATAGATCCATTGTGCTCTTTACAATTCAAAGAGACTGAAAACACTGCCAGCTCTTGCTATAGTCACCAGCCAGGCCCTCGTTTACAAGGGTGCTACAAATAATGTGGCCTGGGTGTCATTATAACATCAAGTATATAACACTGTAGGTCATTTTCAAGGCTGGTTTTCAGAAAAAAAAAAAAAGCTCTCCAAAGCAATAATCATCCTCATTCTGTGAAATGATAGTGGATGCTCTGGTCTCTTTTGATGTTACATGGAACAGAGAGGATGGCGATGCTCAGTGTGCATCTGTTTGAATTGATTTTTTGAGAGAGTTAGTGACTACACTTTGCCATTGTACGCTACAGAGAGATACCTGTTGTCAGAGTGAGATCAATAAAGTTATAATTGGGCCAGATATGTGGTTGAAGAAGACATTTGCACACTTACGAAGAGGTTAGAGAGGCTCTTCAGATCCAAATAATGTGACTTAGGGGCGTCTTGTGGCTCAGGTGTGTATCAAGTGGCCGTGATGTTCTTGGTTTATTTGGTCTTAATATGATTTATTCACATCATGACAGAAAAAAAATAGAATAAGCAACAGTGAACACTTCACTAACCTAATACAATGAGCATACACTGACCTGAAGAGCCTCAACAACCTTTTTTTCAGAGTGCAGTCTCTTTTCCTTTTTTTTTTCTCCTCAGTTATTTGTTTGACTGCTTCACTGGCCTTGGCCCTCGACTAAAGAACATAACATCTTTTAACACAACATCTATATTGTGTACTAACTCTGGTATTAGTCATAAAAAGAATGAACGACGGAAACAATAATCCTTGGCAACAAATAGCATATTTCCAGCAATGAAAGGTTACTTCCTTACATGGCTCTGCGCACAGCTGTACAATCCCACCTCTAAACTTTCCTGAAAGTGCAGAACTGTAGGTCGGCCCTTCAGACGTACAAGCTTTAGTGTGATCGGCCACTGCTGCTGTCAGTCAGTCCACCTGGCTGTGTGATTGGCCACCACCAGACCCACCCGGGGTCTGATTTCCTGTGTAGATAAAGAATGTAAATATAGTCTATATTCTATTTAGTGATGATTTTATTTTCCACATCTATATAGAGATCTAGAGATAATGCTGATTATTCTGGGTACTAGACATTGTTCTGATGTCCTGCAATGCCATATTACGACTGTATGAGTGCACAAATGAGAGCTTTGTATAGTTTCGTTCTCTTCACTGCTTTGCTGTGTGTAATCTCATGATTAACCCTCAACCCTCCCCCCACCCCA